GGCTGCTAGCGAGCTATATCCACCCTGAAGGTTAATGATCGACTCTTTTAAATGAAACCAGAGAGCGTTGACAGAGAGGAGAAGGTAGAAATGACTCAACCTGTAACTGAAAATATAGATGGAGGACAACAGAGCTGCTTCATGGAAGAAGAACCCCAGCTTAGCCTGTTAGCTTTAGCGTTAGCCCCAACGCAATCACCGTATGTGTATTATTAGCTCAGCGCTACACATTCTCCTCTCGTCACTGAGGACCTCCATCCACATAACAGAGAGGGGAACRCAAAAATGRCTCAGGCTGCAACTGAAAATATGGATGGAGGACCTCAGTTTAGCTCTTTTATCGCGCTAGCAAAGAGCTAATACATAAAAGGCAATATAGCGTCAGCGCTAATGCAAAGACTAACAGGCAAAGCTGAGGTTCTTCTTCCATGAAGCAGCTCTGTTGTCCTCCATCTATATTTTCAGTTGCAGGTTGAGTCATTTCTACCTTCTCCTCTCTGTCAACGCTCTCTGGTTTCATTTAAAAGAGTCAATCATCAGATATTGTCCAAGATTAACCTTCAGGGTGGATATAGCTCGCTCACACCAAGGACATATCCACGTCATCATTTACCCAGAATGCTTTGTGTGAAAATAAAATGGCTCCGTCCGTGTTAAAATATATTTTAAAAAATTTACAAAACTAGACAGCCAACAGTATTTTTACAGTCTTTATTTTACAGTTAAAATACATGTTTATCAAATAAAGTCTAATGTTACAACTAAGTGTGGATCTCTTTAAAAGGACATTACTGGTATGATCCAGTATTTCAGTAGAATAAATGGTTTAATCTCATATATTGACAATCAATTTAAACACAATCATTTTTGCTTCCTTTTCTCACTCTGCTGATCCTGTTTCCAGACTGGTAATGTTACAGTGAGCTAAATATAAACTGGATTGATCAGATTGTTTTCACACCGTGATCTTGTCTCTTCTCACAGAAAGTTCTTGCAGAACAGGTTCACATCARGCGTTATCTGTGTTCGCATAGTCTCAAGACCACAATTCCTCATCAGTAAGGTGGTCTTGCTTACCAGTGTTCAGTGACCTCACCCAAAGCCCGGTGAACTAGAGCGTGTAATCGCTCACTCCCTGTCTAAAAAAAAAAAAAACCCTAATAGGCAAGGTGTGTTTGTGTATTTGTACACTAACAAGATGAGCACATGAATTGATTTTTGTGTGTTTTTGCTGGTCTGCCAAACTAACCCTTTCAGAAATGCTTCTTTGAGCTCCGTGTATTTAAAGCTAAGTTCGTGATCATAATCATGCTTTCATCTGTTGATGTTATGCTTTGTATATGAGATATTGCCATAATTTCCATTAAAGGAATTATTTTAAATCAGTTMAGACTCCAAATTTTACCATAAACCTTTATCTTGGTTATATAATAGACTAGCAGCCTTTCCAGGTTGTATCCAGACTAATGCCCAATGTGAGCGTGGATAAGCAGTTTATAAATTCTGTGCAGGGATAAATGTGGATCATTTTGTAATGACTTCTTCCTTGTGTCAGCGGTGCTGCTGAGCCTTACACACACGGCTTAAGATTACTTTGTGCATTAGAAGTAATATACTGTATATGCAGTGCTGTGCAAAAGTCTTAAGTCATCTCTCATTTCTTTTTATTTTGCTTCCAATGGCCTAGGTGTTATTTTTTTATATTTTAAAGTAATGTTGATCATGATTTTTTTATTATTATTTTTTAGCAGACTTTCTTTGGGCTTTAACTTCATTTTTGCTCATTTTTAGTCCAGTTCCAGGCCATTTCTACAGGTATATTTATTTTTTAAGCCACTTGATTCAGTCTTATGAATATTTTAGGTATAAATGTTAAGGCACAGCGGCTGGTAGAGCTGWTGCCTCTCAGCAAGAAGGTCACCGGTTCAAATCCTGGCCCGGGGACCTTTCTGGGTAGAGTTTGCATGTTCTCTCCGGGCACTCCGGCTTCCTCCCACAGACCAAAAACATGACTGTTAGGTTAATTGATAACTCTAAATTGTCCCTAGGTGTGAGTGAGAGAGTGAATGGTTGTCTGTCTCATTTGCCTCGGTGTCCCTGTGATGGACTTGCGAYCTGTCCAGGGTGTACCCCGGCCTTTGCACTGTGACCCCCGTGACCCTGAAAGACAGATAATGGATGGATGTTACTAAAATCAGTGGATGAATCGGTGCGGTCAACACATAACACACAGCTTAGCAAAGAACCCACTTTAAACTGGATCTATAAGTGCTTTGTTGCTTTAAGTTTGTCACAAAGACAAAATGTAGATGGTTTCTTTCAGACCCTGTGTCAAGTCTTTGCTGTATTTTTTAAAAATCTTTTAAAGGCATGCCTTTCAGACACTGTTCATCTGCTGTAGATGATGTTCTGTAGGCCAGAATATTTTATTTATTTGTCCTCAACTTGTTCATTTTCCTCTTTTTTTTACGGCACAATATGCTGCCGTGGAAATTTTAAGAACAGGACAGAAAAAGAATAAAAAGGCAACAGTTTCAAAGTAAAAATCTGAAAGACATTTAAAAAGCTATTGATCAAAGTTACTTAAAAATAAAATAAATTCTGGCTCCTTAAAAACAAAGTATTACAACTTATTTAGTAATGATTTACTTTTTTGCATTTATTACCTGTATTTTACAGCCCTGTTTATCTGTCACTGTTAGATTTAAATACAATTAATTTATTRCTCACACACCACCTGTTCTTCACAGGAGGACTCCATGAAAGATGACAGAAGAGGTGATTGTTGTAGCCAAGTGGGACTACACGGCCCAGCAGGACCAGGAACTTGACATCCGTAAAAATGAGCGTCTCTTCCTCCTCGACGACTCGAAGACGTGGTGGCGCGTCCGCAACGCCGCCAACCAGACGGGGTATGTGCCGTCAAACTACGTGGAACGCAAGAACAGCCTGAAGAAAGGCTCGCTGGTGAAGAACATCAAAGACACACTGGGTAAGAAGAATTATTTTCCACGCTGCTGGGAAGAAAAAAAAAGTCCTCAAGTGTGCGAATTGTCACTGTTAAATTGAAGATTATTTTTAGGCAAAGCAGGAAAACTTCATTATGATTTTTAACGCTTTGTACACACTGGAGAAGATGAGATGTTACATTGTGTTTTGTGTGYGCACGTGTGTGTGTTAAAATAATTTTCACACTGCGTTTCTGTCTTGGCTAGAAGCTGCTTCTGTGCACTCCAGGGAGCCTGTTGAGTTGGCCGTTGCTCTCAGCTGTCAGCGCAGTGTCACTCAGTCCCCAGTCATGACAGGAATATATTACAGACTTTGTATGTGGGTTCAAATTTCGGCTCCTTTTAAAGGAGTTTGGTGCATAAAGTACAGGTGAAGAGAGCAAAGCTTGAGCAMAAACAAAAAATCCTGCATCAATACTACTTTTAGCATTAAAAGGGGCATATCATGCAAAATCTTTTTTTTTTTTTACCTTTTTTAGCTGTTAAATGCATTTTGTTGTGTACTTGGTATCTCTAGGAGTGCATAACATTTTAATTTAGTCTCTCCTGATGCTGCGAAGATATCTTTATATTCTTTTTAGGTCATATTTTTCAACCTGTTCAGTTTTCTCTTCTATTTTTTTTCTTTTATTACGTCAAATTATTTACTGAATAAGGTCTGGAGTTTCCAACTACAATTCTGTCGTCTTCCTTCTCCTCTGGCTCTGGGTCTCTGGCTCTGGGTCTCTGGCTCTGGGTCTCTGGCTCTGGGTCTCTGGCTCTGGGTCTCTGGCTCTGGGTCTCTGGCTCTGGGTCTCTGGCTCTGGGTCTCTGGCTCCAACATGTAAGGCTGGATGGACAAGTCTTCCCTTGTTGACATCTTTTAATTCATTTGTAAATAAAATGTTATCTGCTGCTAAATATCAAACTACAATGGACCGCTGTAGAAGCTGGAGGGGGGTGAGGTGTGAAGCCCTTGGTTTGAATTTTAAGAGACAGCCTCAAAATGAGTTGATCTGACACACACATCAGAAAAGGGTTGAAAGAGGAACTGATAAAATTACAATAAGGAGGAAATCAGACTAAAGCAGACCCCAACTGTATGATTTAAATGTGAGAAATGATTTTAAAGCATATGTCTACTTTAAAAGTGATAAAACTAAATTAAGTAAATTGGCATTTATATATAAATTTAATATTTTTATAGAGGTTTAACTTTACTATAGGTGTGCTCCAATTTCCAACCTGTTTAGGGATCTTTCTGATACCTCTGGGTATTAAAAAAATAAAACAATCTACAACGTGGACTTCAGGTTTTTGTTCATATTACAAATTAAATAATTTTAACATAGTCATCTTAAACTTCATTGTTTTCATCTTGATTGCTGTGTTTTGTTTACTGTGTTGTGATTGTGTGATGCTCAAACGTCTCCCGTCTGTCAGTAAGATTGACTTGAACMTTTTCTCCACACGTTTATCTTGCATCAGTGTATTGATGTTTTCATACTGACGGGATGCTCTTTGGTGCAGCTGCAAACAGAAACCTGTTAGCGCCGCAATTCTTTAAAACATAAAATAACTCCTATTTATTATGACTTATTACAAAATAAATCGGCTCATTAGCTGTTTTTAAATTGTTTCAAGCTTTCCAGTAGATTGTGTCCTAATTAATTTGCGTACATTATGAATTTCAGCATCTTGGCGATGAAGTAATTGGGAACAATTAAGCTTCTGAACAACACCCACCCAGCTGCTGCTCAGTTTATAGTAAACAAATAGCACAGATGTGACCCACACTGCAAGTATCCTTAACAAATTAGTGTTGGCTACAGATTTCTGCTAATCTAGGTTTGCTTGTTAGCTCAAGCCAAAAAAGCGAAATTGAAAAATCATCCACCTGCTCTTTTTTTAGCAGCTGTAAATAATTTGTTTGGACAGTTTAGGGATAAGATTTTTTTTTTCCAGAGTGATGGGGGATGGAAATAGAGAGGAACTGTGGCAGAAAATAGAAACATCTGGTAGGAGTCCTAAGACAGTGTCATCAAGATGTGCAGTTGTAATAAAAATAGTAACCATGTGGTCCAGAAAGTAGCTGAGAGGAGGAGGTTTAGAGGAGAGAAAAAGAGTGACTGAGGTCGCGTTTAATGCATGGACTTCTCTCAGCTCTGTGGATTACTGCCCTCAGGGGGACAGCGGCTGCATGTCGGTCACTGTGGCACAGCCTGCCACTGTCACCATCACCAGAGATCGCTCGAGATGACACCCCCCTCCCTGTTCTTACTGCTCCAGCTTTGTTTCCATCAGCTCAGTTCTCTGTCACCGCGGGCCCCAGCAGATCTGTAGTTTTGTTTCAGGACAAGTCAGACATCTAATGGTTGTACTGGAATGATGGATTACCTTGCTGTGCTCCGACTGAGTTACGTATCGACTGCAACATTACGGCCCAGTTCCATTTCAGTCTTAGCCGCGTGCTTCCTGCCAGTAGCTCTTGTGTTAAAAGCCTGTGAAAATCAAATAGGCCAGAACACTTCCATGATGATGAGGTGATGAGCAGTAGGTGAGGTCAGGTGCTAATGGAACTTACTCACACACTTGAATGGAGATTTTGATTGGRTGATGGATTGATTGCTTCATCCCCTCTATAGTCTGGGTTTTTTATTTTTTCATCCTCAGCGAGTCCGCATTATGATTATGGAGAGTGTGGATAGTTCATAATTACTGGTATCGTCAGCCTTTCCTCTTCACTTTTTATGAYTTTTAGTGCAGTTGTATCATCAGTATTCATCTAAACAGAATCCAACTATAAATGGCTGCCCGCTGCTCGGTGCCCTAGTTTCATCTCTTAGGAAATAAAAATAAATAATGGGTAAAATACATCAGCATAGAAACCACTCATTGCTAAAACTGGGTCAGAACTCACCTGTCTGACCAACAAGCAAGCAGAATTTTACCCCACGAGTTTTTACAGAAGGCGGCACATTTAATAACCTAAATCTGAGTGTAGAACTGAGGCTGTGGAAGTGACATCATTCTGACTTCACAATAAAAAGTGTTTCACATGTCTCTCATTCTGGAAGGTGTCTGAGGTTTTACAGCCTGCAGCCATGAAAGCTGGGCTGGGCAGTCATGTCATTTARTGTATTTTGTTTCTTTGTTAGCAAAGTATCACATTAGCTGCTGCACTGTTTTAATGAAACTCCTAAACAGTAATTTTTGTATGTACATCTGAAATAGGGCTGCACAGAATTATAAAAACTTGCGATGTGTGATAATATTGTTTAAAATTGTAATGGTGGGACCCTCTTTTCCTTCACTCGTCACTTTATCTTTTGTCATCACTATAATCTAAACCAGGTTAAAGGTTAGTTAAAGTCCTTGGACTGACTAATTATTAGCATGCTAAACATGATTGTATGGTGCTGGAAGTAGAACAGCCTTTGATTGGAATCCTTTACGGTGTTTTATTGCACTCATTGATATTGCAGTGAGGGTCARTTTTGGATATATTGTGCAACTCTATTTTAAAACTTATAAACTTCTGGAGTCAACCTGATTCAGGATGGCTACCACAGCTAATCAACCTTAGCAAACCCCAAAATGACAAAGAAAATGTCAACATTTTTACAAATTCTGAACATGTTTCTTTAATGAATAATTTTATTCTTCATGCTTACATTTGATCCACTGCAACAAAACTCCTCTACTGGTTAAAGTCGTTATGCAGATGAGCTTTTAAAACTCTTAAAACAAAATGTAATTTTTTGTGAAGCTAGATATTATAAAGTTTGTATATTGAAAGAAGTACTTGATTTTTGAGAAGTTCACTAATCATCACCTGGCTGTTCATTTAGTTCATTTAGTTCATCTAAATAAGTGTTCACTTATGGATTTTCAACAGAATAAACTAAAATAAGTAAAGATGACAAAAAACAAAAAAAAAAGCACCTTAAATAGGTGAATTTATGTGCAAGTCATCCAGTATTGGTTGATTTATATTAGTGTTTGAACCCTTATTGGTTAGGACCAATTTGAAATTAGTGCAGTGGTTCCTAAAGTAAGGGTTAAGTTCAATGTAAAGTTGGTAAATTGGTAATTAGGGTAGCACAATATTGGACAAAAATTGACATTGTGATTTTTTTTTTCTAATCCTGCAATGTATATTGTGAAATAAAACAAATACAGAAATCGTCAACAATTGACTTGAATAACWCTTTAAGTTACGCAGCCATCTWACCATCTTGTCGACGATGAATCTGTACTGATCTTACTTCTTTTTTGTGTGCGTTACAAATATGATCTTGTCTATTTGAGAATTGTTCTCATCTTTTATTGCTTGTTTTATTGTGCTGGGACCTGAGGACATTTCCTTCTATGACGTGCAAACGTGAATTGTGTTAATGTGTTTGCCACTCTGTGGAGATTAGTTCCTGTTTCCATCATGCCAAATATTAAACCTTCATTCTGAATCGTGTTTGACCTCTTTTCCTTTTAGTTTTCATCAAGATGCTCATTGTCTCGTCAACAGTTCTCCAAAAAACGTTGACATTATTTTACTAGAAGTTTTACAACAAAATGAAAAGTTATTATTTTTATTTATTTATTMTTTTTAACACAAAGCTGCCCACCTCCAATGACCTGTCAAAATAAAAGTTGTAACACACAACCATTTAGTGCAATAACTTATGGTTTACACGTTGATTTAATTTGCCTCCTACATTACAGATATATTGATATCGTGCAGCTTTATTGGTAATATTGTTTGTTTGTTTGTTTTGCACAATTGTTTCATAACATATGTATAGATCCTTAAACATGATTTAATTATTTTTTCCCATTTAATCCCATTGTTCACTATATACAAAATACCTCAGATAAGGTATGGTTTACCTGTTTCTCATGGAAATGACTAACAAACGCAAAGACATTAAGGATGCTGATGAAATTAACACAAATGTAGTTAAACATTTCACCTTGATGCAGGCCTATGCTCTTCACAGGTTTGTTTTTGCATAAATCTGTTTTTTTTTTCCTGTAGCAGTCTAATCTTGGTGTTTTTCTCTATTTTTTTATTTATTTATTTTTGTTAATCCTTTTGACAGCCTTTACTGGCTTTACATACAGTAATGCGTTAAGACCTCACCACTCTTTGATTAAAAACAGAACAACACTACAAGGAGGCTTTTTACAAGACCACATAGTTCACCTCTGATTCACTTTAAGTGCTCTTAAATCACAGCACCTGCTGTTACCACTCTAGTACTTCACTACACAGCCAGGTTGTGCTTGTTGATTGCACACATGTGTCTGGTGGGTGGTATGGCTTTGCAAGGACTCACTTAATACAGTAACGTCTCTATTGCCGTCAGTAGTAAGCATAAAGAGTAAAGCAATATGCGGCAGCTTGGAGTCTTTCATCAACTCACTTCCCTCAGAGAGAAAGTCCTCTGGGTTTGAAAATCCAGGCTCCTTTCATAAGATGAAGAGGTAGGTTGAGGTTTTGAGTGGCCCACTGCTGCTCTTACCAGCAGGCCAGTACCTTGAAGTGGAAATGAGTGAAGAAGAAAGGTGTGGGGAGATTCAGGTGTTTTTAGCTGAGCAAGAGAGAGAGTGCTCATTGCAGTGTCACTCTTTCTCACAACAATGATGGTTTATCTAGTTTTCTTTCCTTTGTGACCTCCTGAATAATCTCAGGAGTCAAACTGTAGTTTCTGGAACACCGTCTCATTCATACATATTCACAGCCATCAGATTTGTTGTGATGCTATCTACAACCATGATCTGTTTGTTATTCCCGTCTCATCATCCTCCTTTGCATTTTTGTCAGCTGTGGCCTCTGATGTGCTCGGTCTCCAATGTGAGTGAGAAACGGCTGCCAGGGGACCCCTTGTCGTTCTCCACTGCTCTCCTCATCTCTCCACCCTCTCTCTCTCTCTCTCTCTCTCTCTCTCTCTCTCTCTCTCTCTCTCTCTCTCTCTCTCTCTCTCTCTCTCTCTCTCTCTCTCTCTCTGCCAACAAGTTTCATGCTCCTCTGTGTGAACCCAGCAATTTTCAAAACAATGTAAATGGTTCTGCTCAGCGGTGACATTTCGGTGGCACAGTCTGGGTGATGAGCTGTCAAGATATTCACTTCCATCATTAGTGCGAGCAAATCCTGACACCGGCTTCAGCTGTCAAGTAAATAGTTTAAATGTTTTAAGCTGCCATGTGTRTAATTATTATTTTAAAAAGCAACGAGAGAAAACCAGGAGACCACCTCCACTTGGGTTCAGGAGAGACTTCAGAAACTTCAGGTCTCAGTGAAGTGTGCAAACACGTTTAAAGACTCGCCTTTGAACATGTTTGAATAGAGAAGTCAGAGGCAGGTGAGACAGGAGCTGACTTTGATCTTGGATATGCCTGTCATTATCAAACCCATGGTGCCTGCTCCACTTTTCTTCCCCTCTGTGCACCATCTATTTCCAGCCTTTTGATTTGTATAGATGTGCTTATAGTGTGTAAGATGATGTCGACTGAATACCAAGTAGAAGTTATGCATTGGGTGCGTTTCCACTGTAGTATYCTGAACCTTTTCCCCCTGGAACCTAATTACCGTGGACCATCAGCATACCTTTCAGCTGCGGTTTGTTGGGTTTCCACTAAGGCCCGAGGTTCAGGGGAAATTAGGCTCAGCTGACATGTGACACTTCAACATTGCTCTCCTGAAATGTTTCAGCTTGGAGGATGGAAGCTTCCATACTGAGATGAGAAAAATAATGCCAGTAATCAGTAGGGATGTCCCGATCCAGATTTTTTGGCCCCTGATACAATCCAGTTTTTTTTAATGATTAGTCTTTCCAATACCGATAGCTTTATTTCTTTCCAAGTGGCAAGGTTGGTAGTATTAAAGCGAGCCCTGCTGTTCCCACCACGAGAAACATCMAGTTTGCAGATTTCGCAAGATGCAGTTTCAGCATCATTGTTTTCCATTGAAAAGTGTTCCYACACTGTGGACATGGTTGCATACTTGTGTGCGTCTTCACTTCTTAACAGCAGCTGTAAAGCATGATGATGCTGAAAACTGTCACAAAAACTGGATCGGCCCGATCACATGACTAAATCTGATTCTGCCCGATTTTCAAAAAATGGCCACATCTGCCACTGATACTGATACTGAGTATCTGATTGGGACATCCCTAGTAATCAGCAGTTAGGTTTGAAACCATAAATAAAAATCACTTCATATTTAGGAAATGTGAAAGTGACAGATCAAAGCTTTAGTCAGTATATAAATATACTAGTTATGTTTTGTAGTGCARCAGTATTGAATAGAAATATTCATCTGATGTATATAAATGTCTGCTCTTTGTCATTAAGACTTTTTACAGGTTAACTTTGTTCATCTTCAGGGCACCCATTATGTACAAGCCTAAGTTTATTTTACYCTTATTTAACCAGGCAAAKCCCAGTGAGATCACAGATCTCTGTTGCAAGGGCGATCTGGCCCTGAAGGCAACCTATTGTACAGATGTTTGGGCTCAGTCACAGAAGAGCAGTTTGTTGCTAAATGAATGTAAAATGTTGACTAATGTTTGTTTCTGTCCACATGTGCAGGTTTGGGTAAAAACCGGAGGAAGACAAGTGCCCGCGATGCCTCCCCCACACCGAGCTCGGACACAGAGTACCCTTCTAATGGCAGCGGGGGAGGAGGTGTGGTCGGGGCCGCCGAAAGGATCTACGACCTTAACATTCCTGCTGTGGTGAAATTTGCTTACACAGCAGAGAGGGATGACGAGCTGACGCTGGTCAAGGGCTCCAGAGTGATGGTTATGGAGAAGTGCAGCGACGGCTGGTGGCGGGGCAGTCAGACGGGCCGCGTGGGCTGGTTCCCCTCCAATTACGTCCAGGAGGAGCTGCCAGGGGCTGACGACATAGGGGAGGGAGACCCCTCGCGGCACTACCACGGAGTATCCCAAGGAACATTGTTAGCAAATGGACGCGCAGGTGGTCGCGGTGACGTCCTTCWTCTGGTTCAAACGCTCTACCCTTTCAGCTCTGTCACAGAGGAGGAGCTGAACTTTGAGAAGGGAGAAGTCATGGAGGTGTTGGAGAAGCCCGAGAACGACCCCGAGTGGTGGAGGTGTAAGAACTCGCGAGGCGTCGTGGGCCTGGTGCCTAAAAACTATGTGATGGTGCTTGACGAGCGGCCCGGCGTGCCCTCCTCTACGTCGGGCTCCCCACAGTACCGCCTGGCACCCTCGCGCTCAGGGAGGTTTGCCGGGAGGGACTGGTACTATGGCAACATCACCAGACATCAGGCCGAGTGTCAACTCAACGAGCGGGGAGAGGAGGGTGACTTCCTCATACGAGACAGCGAGTCATCGGTGAGTCAGCCCGGTGAAGTTATGACACACTGACGCCATGGAGGCTAGAGGAAAAACAAACAGAACAACATGACTGATCAGATTAGAAACCTAAAATTCATATATTAATTAAATATATAATAATCAAAGTTCATTCTGGGCTAGTTGTTTTACAGATTATTTTAAAAGAAGGTGGTTTAAAAATCAGTTCTGCCTCATGAATCACCTTTCTAATGAATAATAGTTGTGTTTACGTCACTCAGTGATAATGTCATCAAAGTTTTTTTTTTATTATTTGAGGTATTTTACATTAAATAACATACAGATATAAATAGAGATAAAGTATGTTTTAGTATTCTATTGATTAAATAAAACAAAGCAGGGTGGATGCTTCTCATAAACTAAAGAAAAACATCCTCAAATACAAAGAGGTGGGAGTGAAAGATACAACATTATGTTCATGAAGAATAATAAATCACTTACCATTGGTCCACTGCTTACAGCTCACATCATTCAAACATATCCTGTTATAGAAAAGTTTCTAAGAATGAATTTTAGCCTGAGCTAAATCTACTATTCTTATTGCCTCATTTCAACATTTTGTACATTTTTAGTCAGGTGATGTTTGTTTGTGTTTTGTTTTGATCTGTTTAATGAGTTTAACATACACTCCACCATAATTAATTTTTAAATATAAACTTAGCACAAAAAGTAAGAAAATTTGTTTTTGTTAGATTATTTCTTTGTTGTAACGATGCCTCTTGTTTATGTCTTATACTGTTAGAAAGTCTCTTCATTTTCCTTTTTAAATGGYGCCACATTTGTAAGGAGCATGCATTTGTGGGATGAGCAATAGAGCTGAGTGGGTTTCACACATGAAAAAGTTGCCAAATCTTCACTGCCAAACAACTTATTTTACTGTTGACTCTTGTTTTGAGCTTCTGGTACCCMCAGGTGCTGCCAGTCAGCTGCCCAGYATAAGATTTATTGCCAAGAGGCATTGTTACAACAAAGAAATCATCTACAAGCACACATTCCTTACTTTTTGTGCTAAGTATAAAGGCAAATTCTTGAGTATTTTTACCCTCAAAAATAAAACAACTCATTTTCTCAGACATAGCAGATTTCCCTGAGGCAACTTTCCAAACATGCAGAATATTTAAAGATTATTCAGATAATAATAGGCAGATGTCACTAAGTTTTCTGGAAYGAGGAAATTTCCGTTACTGTTTCTTTATGTAGGGAAACTAATCTTCTGCCTTTTTTTTCTTTGATGTCACTCTAGCTGTGGTGTAAACAGAGCTATACGCACATAATTACTGTCTACACTCWTAACTACAGACAGGATATAAAATCAAGTTTGTTCACTTGTGTTTATTTTCAAATTGAGGTTTAAAGAGTAAAAAAAACCTGCATCCACCTGCGTGTCWTTATAAATCTTTTGACAAGAATATTTAAGTTTATTTCTGCTGTACAGTTGCAGACGTGAAACTGTTTATTCRTCTGATTTGTTGTAACCTCATCTGAGCAAACTTTAAATAGTACAAATATTGTTTTAGTAGAGTTAATTAGCTAAATAGGTTATTTTTCTAAATCATTCCAGGCACCATCAAAAATGTTTCCAATAGTTTCCATGCCACATAAGCTGCTTCAGAGAGAGAATCCAGTTTTTTAGGAGTCCCCAGAGGAACATTTTGTTGTCAGCAGATGAACTTAAAAAGTTTTTAAGTGTAAAATTAATCAAAGCCACAACAAGAGAAAATGTGAAGTAGAAGTCCAATTTAAAGTTTTAAAACAGCAGTAAAAGTGAAGGATTTTGCTCTTGTTCCCTGTTTGTGTCTAAGATTTACAGTTATTGCAGTTCTGTAACTGTGCTTGTTTAAAAAGGGGGATATGCTGCCACCTGCTGGAGGAGTAAAAATACTCACCTGTTCCTCTCTGTCTCTTTTCCAGCCCAGTGATTTCTCGGTGTCTCTGAAGGCGGTGGGGAAGAATAAGCACTTTAAAGTGCAGCTGATGGACGGGGTGTACTGCATCGGCCAGCGCAGGTTTAACTCCATGGATGAACTAGTGGAGCATTACAAGAAAGCCCCCATCTTCACCAGCGAACATGGGGAGAAGCTGTACCTGGTGAAAGCGCTGCTGTGATTTACACATCTACACTGGATCTCAAACACACACTATATGCCACTCCTTTACTGTCTTAACTCAAGCCTTAGCTCTGGACCCTCCTGCAGCGGTGTCTGTACCAACATCCAGATCCTCAGCCGTACCTCCTGRGTTTATCGCCCTCTAGTGGTGAAAACACAAACCAAGGTGAAACTTTTTCTAGCCCTTCACTCTTTTTGCAGTCGACCCMCAGCACTGAGCCAGTGAATGCTTCATATAGTCATTATCTAACGAGCCTCTTCGTCTTGGATGTGCAGACACGCAGTGACCATATGTGCTGCTAACAGAGCGCCCGAGGCCTTGTCAGGGGTTTGAGCTCTCCCTCTGATGTCATCCATAATGTCTCTCGTATTTACAAGCGCTCACGTTGAACGTCACACCGTTGCTCTTAATGATCACAGGAGACCTGACATTTACCAGTTCAGAGAGGACTCGCTCCTCTGAGGGACCTAACTCTGCTGTCTAATTACAGCCTGWCGTTTGATTTTCTTCATTATTTGTAAAAGGAATGCTAGATAGAAAAAGTTCTTTTGTTAAGCTAATTTAAAGCTCTCTGCGTTTCATTTTATTTTTTATTAAGTGACCTTTTATTTCTTCCTGATTTTCACCATTCCGCTGACATGTTTTTTTTTCTTCTCCCACTTACAATTTTTTATTTAATTTTCTTCCTCATTTCGACTTTAAATGTGGATACAACGCTCACTGTAATGTTTGTAACGGAGGCAGTGAGGGGAGGGTGGGRCATTAATGCAATAGGAGAGACCTGAGTTCTTGTTGAGTTTTGAATGTCGATTCATGTAACCAAATGTGCCACCTCCTTGTTCCCACTGGCTCCAGGTCCACACTGCACTCACTATACTTTGATTGATTCATAGTTCAGTGCTCATGCTTTATATTGTCACATAGAACATGTTACTGTTCTGTTGTTCGGTACGTGTCTGTAGCTACATGAGGATACTGACAGTTATTAAACTTTTTTTTTTGGGTAACACTTTTGAGTAACTACAATCGATCTGCTCTAAAGCAGTAATGAAAAGTACCTCTTCAGTTGTAGTTTTTGTCTTGTGGTTGGAGAGAGTTTTGCAGGAAATGTAAACAAAAGACTCTAAACAGTTGTTGAAGAAATGAAGACTCCAATAAAAGACTTATTTAAGAACAGGTCTGAATCTGTACCTTTTTATAAAACAGAGTATCTCATATAGTAATGAGTAAATAAAGTATTTGTTTCTCCTTCTCTTGGATAACTTATTTGCCATCACTTAGCAGCAATAAGCACGGCCATTTAAAGTCAAACTTTTAAAGAAAGGATTGACTACGTTTACGCATAGTTTAACTTGAAAAGAAAAATAAATAAATAAGTTGGCCTTTTTTATTTTAAGCTCAGTTTCTAAAGAAGAATCGGCAGCTCAGTGGAGCTGCTGGACTTTTTTTTTCCTGTCAAACCAAAAACTCCCATCATCTGATTTAAAGCTGAAAAACCCAAAAATCCCAAACGTACCTGTTTCTTCTGTGCATCTGTTTACCAATGGAAGTGTTGATGGGGTCCTCGGCTTTTATACAATATATCTGAATGTTATTGAGCACTGTTATTTAATTCTTGTCTTCACAGTATGTATATATTCAAAGTAAGAAGAGGTGCRTATATGAATCATTAAGATCCAACTATGGTACTGTATCACTGACAACGTGATGAGAGCTGATACTTTTGTTCAATAAAAAAAATAATTTGACCAAGGTTTGTGACTAGTTGTTTTAATGGTGTTTGATGGGAATCCAAGGTAGAAATGAATTTGTGTTTGTTAGCAAAATCTCTGACTGATTTTAAGCACTAACTGAGATCTTTGTGTAAAACTTTGGCACACAGGGTGATGCTCAGTGAAGGCTAGTTAATTTTTTTATGGATTTAATGGGGCTCAGAGTTATTGGCTTGGCTTTTACAACTGTTTTTTAGAAGAATAAAAATCAACTCCTAAAAGTTTTCATTGAGCTCCTTTCTTGGTGACACTCCCTCAATGGTTTTTCAGACTGATATCACTTCAAAATTGTTTCTGCATGTTAATTTTGTAAAGTCATAAAAATAAAAGATAAAATAAGAAAATTTAGCTAAAACTAAATTCATCACTGTGTCAAGCTGCTTGGACTTTTAACAACATTAAAGATATTTTCATAATGATTTTTGTTCACAGTTTTGGTTATAATCTAAATATGTATCAATATCGGAAAACTTTGGTATAAAAATGTTCCTTTTACACTTGTTTTTATTTGACCTTACTGCCACAGCGGCACACTGGAAGTCACTAAACATCACCTTAAAGGAAATATTGAGCTAGGTTTGTGAATTTTCAAATCAGTCAAATTTAAATCTGATGAACCCAACCATCTGGATAAAAACTACTGAGACTTTTAAGACACTTTCTTCACTTAGTTTTACCAACTACCATCCATCTATTTTCTTTCGCCTATCCGGGGTCGGGTCGCGGGGGCAGCAGCTTCAGAAGGGAGGCCCAGACCTCCCTCTCC